GAGAAAAAAGAAAAATCATAGGCCTAATTAAAGTTTGTCTGAGAGTGCCATTTCCGGCCATTTTGAGGTGCCATAATCATAAATTTTCCTACCTAAGCCCCAACCATGGTGGGCCTGAGGTGGTATTGACCACCAGTCGGTGCAAGTTTGTTCCCTTCACCCCACCCTCTATTTTTCCTGCTTTACTGTAGGTCCCTAGACAATACTCAAATGAATGAAAATTGAAATAGGATATTACAAATTATGGATTTTAGAAATCAATTAAAAAGGGCCCTTAAAATGCTATTTTGTCAGAGCTTCCAGAAGATTCGCTCCACCCTCGCAGGGATCCCTAGGCAGTCGCCCATCGTAAGGTCCACTACGGTTATAATGATCTTTACATGATCTTTACATCTGTAGGCCTAAAGATGACATGGATCAATCTGCAATCACTGGAGCTGATAATTTCCAACAGATTTCGTAGCACATTATTAAAAAAATTATCGGGTAGAAGAGCGAGCAAAAAATTTTATGCATATTATAGCATTTCGCGATAATTTTAGGAACGATTTTAGTGAAATAACAGGTTTAAAAAATTGGAATTTTTGAAATTTGGTGGTCCAGGAGCAGAGGCCTGGAGGGGATTTGTGAGAAAAGCGACAGAGTAGCATTTTGAGGGTCTTTACATAATAGATTTCTCAAACACATAATTCATGAATATTTCATTTAAAATTTCATTAATTTGGGTGTTTTTGGGACCTGAAAAAGTAACGTTATTATGTCCTGTACACCTGCAGGCCTTTAGATAATATTATTCATATTATATGGACAATCTGCAATCACCGGAGACGATTAATTTCTAACAAATTTCATACCACATTATTGAAAATCAACAGGTAGATATACAAATATATAATGCAATGCATGCTATAGCATTTTGTGATAATTGGGAACGATTTTATGAAATCATAGGTTTTAAAAGGTAGACCTTTCGGAATTTGGGAGGGGAGGGTGCGTCCGCAGCCTCTGCAATACCCCCCCCCCCCGCCTACGGGCCTGAATACATTATAACTTCAGCGACGGATTCCAGGCCTAGCCTAGGTCTAGGTAGGCCCTAAAGCCTGGCC